ACAACAGCACTGTTGCCCAGGATGGATGCCCCATCCCTGGCAGAGTTCAAGGCCAGGTTGGACAGGGCTTGGAGCAACCCGGTCTAGCAGAAGGTGTCCCTGCCCATGGTAGGGTGTTGGAACGGGATGAGTTTTAATGTCCCTTCCAACCCAAACCATTCCAGGATTCCATGACTCTCGTTCCTATCCCCCCAGAGGGAGACTGTATCTGGCACCTCCATGGGACAGGGCAGCAAGCTCAGAGCAGCACCTTACAACACACACCCCATATAACAGCTTCTTGCCTGTCTTTATCCACCACGTTTATCTTTATCACCTCTGCAAGCCGTTAATTTTTCTGCTGTGCAATACCATTTATTTCCCTGGCAAAGGGAGTTCAGGGCTTGCTGACAAGCTAAATGCACAATACTGTGGTTCAGTTGGTGGCATCAGGTTCCTCAGCTGCCCCCTTCACTTCGCAGAGGCAAATTCCAAAAGCAAGAGAGCAAAAGGACCCCACCCCCAAGATCATTTTTCTTCTCAATACAAAAGTCCAGCTGGGGAGAGAGCTGCTTCCCAAAGCCCAGCTCATCTAAGGGTTTTCTTTCAGCCACCTCCTGTGGTTGGAACCCAAATCGGCATATTTCCAGCTGGGATAAAATTAACTTACCACTTAGCATCAAATCTGCTTGCTTGTGGACTTGACCAGCACGGTTTTACAATCAGCAACACACTCAAAGGCTACTTCACTTTGCAGTTTTCCAAAGTTGGCTTCCCAGCTGCTCCATGTTATTATTTTTCAGCTGAATGAACTAACAGTACTTTTGCAGGGAAAAAAAGAATACAAACCACCAAAACCCCATCACACAAACAGGAAAAGATTTGCTGGTAATGAGCAGAACATTCTGGAAATGGGAGCTGCAAGATGGACAGAAATTAAATCTCAGTTTTTGCAAATCATGAGCCCATGTTGTCCCACTGTGCTCCCCAACAGCAGCACCCACCATAAGTGTATATCCACCAACCCCAACCAATCCACTCCTCCATCCACTTAGTTGTCCCCACTTGCGTCTGCAAGGTCAGGTACTCAGCAGCCCTGGAACAATGCGTCTTTTTAAATACGTATTTCATCAAGTTAATGAACAAGTTGCTGCATCTGTTTCTCCCTGGCAGCTGCTTGCAGGGAGAATTTGCCAGCTCTGGGTTTTTTGATTTTGGGTTTTCGTTTTTGTCTTTATTAAGGCTGGATTGCTGCTTCTAGCTGCAGAAATTCATGTCCTGCATGGCCACAGTGCTCCTCTTGGAGGGAGGAGGCCTGCCAGGAGAAGTATGAGGTGTGATGGACCTAGAGGGTTAACAGTGTCCCTGCTTCAAGGCTCATCAGCACAGGCACTGGGCTGCCAATGCAGTCCCCCAGTTTCCAAGAGGATGGTGTGGACCTTACAGCCTCCGTATCTCTACCTGCCATTGCAAATCCTTAAGAGACACACAAAAGGCAAGTTACTGCCAGTGCCCTCCAGCAGCACTTTGGATGTCCTCAGCATGTCCCCACCTTCTGAAGGCAACAGCTACTGGGTGCTGATGAATCACAGACTCACAGACTCGTTTGGGGTGGAAGGGATCTTAAAGTTCATCCAGTCCCAACCCCCTGCCACAGGCAGGGACACCTTCCACTAGACCACGTTGCTCCAAGCCCCATCCAGCCTGGCCTTGAACACTGCCAGGGATGGGGCAGCCACAGCTTCTCTGGGCAACCTCTGCCAGCGCCTCACCATCCTCACAGGGAAGAACTTCCTCCTGAGATCTCATCTCAATCTCCCCTCTGTCAGGTTAAAACCATTCCCACTTGTCCTGTCACTACGTGCCCTTGTCCAAAGCCCCTCTCCAGCTTTCTTGTAGGGCCCTTTAGGTATTTGAAGGCTGTTACAAGGTCTCCCCAGAGCCTTCTCTTCTCCAGGCTGAACTACACCAACTCTCTCACTAATAGAGACCTTCAACAACCCTATGTCATGCAAGACTTGCTTGTGAGCAACCCAAAAGAGTGTTTTATCACCACTGCCATCATCCCAGAGCACTCATCACCTAGCTGGGGACAGTCATCTGCAGAGACAGTCTGCCCCAGTTTTGGAACCCAAAACCGGGACTAGTCAGAGCTTCTCAATCTTCCTGTAAGCATCCATTCACTAGTGGCTTTTTAATAGAAACAGGAATTTATTGATTGTTTCTTTTCCCAGCTATGCTGGATGCTCTCAACACATCTCCGCACCGCCTCTACTTCTCCAGCCACCACGCAAATTCCAGTCCAGGGAAGCCGATTTGCTTCTCAGGCATCAGGTAGGAGTGTGATCAAGGGACTATTGGAACTAGATCATCTTAAGGTCCTTTTCAACCCTAATCATTCTATGATTCCATGATTCTATAATTGCTTTAGTAACACAGACACCTTAACTTTCCTCAGAGTCATCTCAAAAACATCCTTTGACATTGCATTTTTATCCCACTCACAGTTCATTTAACCCTGTCTGTCCTTTAACAGTCAGAAGGAAGTCAGCTCCTGCACAGCAACACTCAAGCAAGAAAAGCACCTTGAAAACACGTGTCATCACCCAAACTTTTTTCATCCTGCTTCTGAGCAGCCAAAACTGTGCTGAGCTGCTGGCTGTCACCATGGGACGGGAGCTGTTTGGGGAGCAGGAGGCAGGTGCCCTCAGACGTGTCCTCCAGCCCTGGGCAGCAGTGGTGGTGATGGTTGTGGTATGAGCTCTGCTGGCAGCAGGCACCCAAACTCCCCTGCACACTGAGGGCTGCTACTTATTCCTGATAAAAAAAACCCTTGGGCACATCCCAAGACCCCAAAGCTCTGAGCTGACAACTCCTTCAGGCTGCTATGAATGAGCCCTGTCAGGGCTTACCTGAGAGCAAGTCTCCATCCAGGGAAGGAAGCAAAGTCCCCAGGTGACAATACGCATTTAGATGGTGCTCCAAAGCAGCAGGGAGTCTTGCTGGTAGCTTCAATGGATGAACCAAAGTGTCATCCACAAGCAAAAGGAGACTCCTTCTTACCATCTACAGGAGCCTCAGGTCAAGCAGAGATGGTAACACCAAGGAACACCTCACTCAATAGTAGACAGCAGGCACTCGCAGTCCCATAGCTAACCCAGCCCCTTCCCAGCCTGTAATCCCCTCGGAGGGGTGCTTCCCAGAACATCCAACCCCAAGCCCCACTCGTGCAAAGATGGGGAGACAGCATGGAGCCAAGCCATGCTCCTTCTGCACTGTGACTTCTGCAGACAACACAGCCCCCACTGTTTTCATCATTTTAACACCAGCCCCGAGGGAGAAGCCACCACATGGTGCCCCACACATCCCCCAAACACCTTTCCCCAGGAGCATCCCCAAAAGCTCCAACACAGTCACAGAAGGAAGCCTTACTTGCTCCCTCATCCAAAACCCTGCTCCCCTCCAGCCCAGCCGAGGCTTTTTATGGGCTCTGGATGAGCTGATGCAGCCCAAACATGGATCCCCACAGTGGGGCTCATCTAAAATTCCATGGAGGACGGAGAAAGTCAGCCTCAGTGCTGGGAGGACACCATCCCCTCATTCCATGGAACAGTTATTAAGACCATTCTTTTCCGTAACAGAGACCCATGGGTCACATAGCCAGCGATCAACCCCTTATTTCTCAGTGCTGAATCGTAGTTTAAACTCAGCTGGGAGTTTTACTTAGAGAGTAAAAAGAGACTGAGCACACTGTCCATGGCGTGACTTGTTTTAATAGAGATGTTATTCTACATTGGTTTACAGCAGAGAGAAAAGTGCTTCAGAAGAGAGACTCCAGGAAAGGCAAACTCCATCCCACTCCTGGTATTTCATACACAAAGGAGCACCATCAGCTGAAGAAGAAAAGCTGTTGCTTTACAGGTAAAACAGTAGTTGCATGAAGAGTAACTTGATTAATCTATTTTATTTCATTATTAGAAATTATTTGCATGTTCTGAAATTCTCAGAAGCCAAGAACTTGCTGTATTATTTAGACTGCAAAACGCCTTGGGCAGGATATTACACGAGGAAAGGTGGGACGGTTTTGTTTCCTAGAAGCACTCCTCCATTCTCTCCCCGCAAATGAAACCAGATACCACTATAAAAACCAAAAACCACAAAAAATTGGTCCCTGCACTGCTCAAGTGCCCCTATGAACTGCTGCTGCTTTAGCAAATGTCTCGAGCACAGCTCGATGTCAATCTGGACAAGACAAATCTATGTACTTCACTTTCGTTTACTGAACCATCAAAATATCATGCTGTGTGCATGTCTAAACCTCATAGCACCTCAGCCTTTGTAAGGGAATAAAGCAAAATGAGGAAGAAATGGGTGCCCATGGGAGAAGGGTGGCCTTGCAGCTGGGGTTTTAGGGTGCTCATCACCCAAGCATAACATTTCTACCAGCTCGCCCTCGGCAGCCACTTGCTCCCATGCTCTAGAACAAACACATCATTTAGAAGGAACAAAATGTACTGGCGTAAAACTTTGTGGATGTCAGCTTTATGTAAAAAGGCCACTCTCAAAGCTCATTTTCTCCAACAGCTGCCACCAGAATAGCTGTACCTCCACCTCCTGTTACACTCGCAACCTTCAGCCACCGCAGAACATCATCTGCTGCGTCAGCTGCTTGTCCTTCCTCATTCTGCAGTCCTGGGAGTTACTCTTCCAGGCTGTCTCCAGTGCAGCAAACAGCTCTTTTGAAGGGTGCCATTCTCTAGAAACTAACCACTCATTGGGGAGCTTTCCCAAGGGCCTGCTCACTCCATGCCTCACATCCTGGGAAGGGAGCACAGGTACCAGAACCCTTTTGCACCAGCACGAATTAAATCTTGTAACCATTTCACTGTGCCATGATGATTTGGAATAAATTTTTACTGACAAGTGGGTTGCTTGTTTATTGGTTTCTTTTCTTTAAATTGTCTCTTCCAAGGTGGAATGTTCCTTGTCCACAGCCTATCTTGGTCACTCCTCCTCCTTGGTCACTGCGCTTGGTCACTATCTTGGTCACTACTGCATCTTCCATATTGGGCGGTATTGTACGACTCACAGTTTTTGCACTTCATGCCTAGGAGATGGAACTGCACGGTAGAGCGAGTGTTGCAGTCATTGCAAAGGATCTAAGCACATAAAAAAAAGACAGAGAGAGAGGATTTAGCACCAGCAGGACACTCAGCAGTACACTATGACCATGCTTCTAGCAACCACTGAACTTGTTTGCCACTGGAGACAAAGCAGAAAATGTCCTCCTTTTAAAGACAGTGGGGCTGATTTAACTTTTCCATTTGTAACACTCAGATTGCACTGTGTAATCACAGAGGACTTACTTACTCTTTAGGTGACTCACTGCATAGGTCAGGGACAGACACTCTTTGGCTTCTTCTCTTGATGTCAGAAACAATTTGAGCAACCCTCAAGCGAAGTGAGGGCACATTAAGAGCAGCTAGCAGCATTGGCTGGTCTGCAATTCAAGGCAGGCAAGCGAGTGTTCTTCTCAAAATAGACAGGAAAGATTTTTTTCAAACATCCTGACTCCCAGTGCTGGCAGGATGGGTTATCTAAACCATAGCAGATGCAATTAAAACATTAATGACCTGTGCTGTTTAATTCAGCATTACCTGCAAAGTGATGAGTTTCATGGTTCTGAATTAACACAAAGAAACCAAAAGAAAACAGAAGTTGTCTCTGTGTTCTAGCCTTGCAAAAAGCAACAGCTTCGGATTTTTGCAGAAAATCCACCAATTTTACTCTGAAACACAAAGCTCCAAGCTGTCAAAAACAAAATGTTCCTGTTTTTCGCTAAGACATCGCCTAACACTACCAGAGAAAGCAAGATTATTTCCAAAGCCCAAGCTGTTTATCTGCTGTGTGATCCTACACCACTAAGATTGTAGTTTTGGGGCTGGTATTTTTGGAGTGCAGGTGGGGGCTGCTTCTTTTTTTGGTGTTTATAAAGCCAGCAAATGAATACTGTAAGCCCACGCATGACATTTCTTCATCATTCCTTAAGCATCCGGCTGAATTCTGATCCAGGACACGTTCCTAGTGCCCTCTACTGCCGATAGTGCAAAGACACAGACCTCCTAAAGAGCAGGTTTCAAGCCTTGCCTCTTACCTCCACCATCACATTCTGGTATTCTGTGGGCATAGGAGTACGTGCTACTTCATCATCCAGCTGGCGCCAGTACCTTGTCATATCTAAAGCCGAGTGCATGCACAAAGGACACCTGTAACCTCTGCAAGAAGGAAAAAAAAAGGCGGCTAAATCAGAAGATGGAGTGGGGCCATGAAACAAGTCCACCCAAACCAACAAATTTCATATTATAGTGAAAAAAACCCCACAAATTTGCCTACAAGGAATCTGGAGAGGAACTTTGGACAAGGACACGTAGGGGCAGGACAAGGGGGAATGGCTTTAACCTGACAGAGAGGAGACTTGAGATGAGATCTCAGGAGGAAGTTCTTCCCTGTGAGGGTGGTGAGGCTCTGCACAGGTTGCCCAGAGAAGCTGTGGCTGCCCCATCCCTGGCAGTGTTCAAGGCCAGGCTGGATGGGGCTTGGAGCAACCTGGTCTAGTGGAAGGTGTCCCTGCCTGTGACAGGGGGTTGGAACTGGATGGGCTTTAAGATCTCTTCCAACCCACACCAGTCTGATTCTACGAAATCATGAAGTTCTTGCAAGCAGAACTGGAAATTAAAAGCCTATTTAAAAAAAAAAGAAAAAAAAAAATGATCTTCAGGAGTTTGCTTCAAGTTATTTAGTACAGGACTGGCATCATGATATTTGCCTCTAAGTAATCTGTTTGGACTACAACAATATTAAGAGACATTTAGAAATACTTACTCCTTCAGCATGTCCTCGTAACACGTCCTGAAAATAAAACACAGTGAGAAGTTCAGTAAGAACACAATTACTGACTAGTAATACACTTGGACTGAACAAAGGGAAAAAGCACACAGAAGTGTGCCCCAAACCAGAAGTTAAAAATAGCCTGAGTCCAAGTGAATAGAAAGCTTCCCAGCACATCTGATTCCACTCTAAGGTCTTCTAACATGAGGGACCAGAGTCACCACTATGAAAAGGCCTGTGTGACTCAAGTCTGCTTAAAAAATGGAGTGTGGTGCATCACAAGGCAAGTTTAGGAGTTGGAAGAAGACTGAGTCTGGAGACACTTACATCAAACAGAGAGGCCATTCACTCAGTGCACAGAGACAACTGGGGAGGGAGAGTGGTGAGACAAGGGTGTCTTAAGGGAACAATCCAAAACTTCACAGATGAGCTGCCACCAACCTCTTAAAATTATCATGCAACTGGTTCCTGCACCAAGGAGGCACTTCTTGAAATTTAAGTAGTAACAGAAGGACATTCAGCACAGGAGAGTTTAGAATGAACAGCACACAGGTCCCTCTGCCACTGCCAAAAGTTGCTGTGTGAGGAAGACAACCTTCCTAAAGAATTTCCCAACAAAACAGAGACTGTTTACTACCATGTGGGTCACTAAGAAATCAGCTGTCTGTAGCTGATAGAGACTAACCAGGCCCATAGTGCTACCAAAGGAACACCAAGCACCAGGCAGCGGCTATTCCCCTCTCTCAAGTATCTGCAATACTTTACCTGTGAAGAAGGTGACCGCAAGGCAACACGTGAGCTCCAACAAGAGATGTGTGAATATCCTGTTTCAAGGCAAGCATCAGACAGAAGACAAGAAAATTAATTCCGTCGGAGTGAAAAACACAGCCACACACAAACCCGTGAGATGAAAATCAGCAGCTCACCTCCAAACATATCGGACAGTCCTGTCTGGACACATTTTCAATGCACTTTGCAAAGGCAAAAAACAAAAAAAGTTATTCTACTACATGAATATTTTTTTTCTGAATTCTAAAATGCTTTTAAAATGGTAAGAAAATACGTATGAAACATTACTGCTTGAATTTAGGTTTGAAGTTCTGAGAATTCTACTTGATCTGGTTGAAGATGTCCCTGCTCACTGCAGGGGGGTAGGACTAGATGACCTCTGAAGGTCCCTTCCAACCCAAAACTATTCTATGATTCTAACAGGTGGCTTAGCATACTAAACACCCAACAGCCTGAACGTACACAGAAGAAAAGGGCTCACAGAACTTCTGCAAGCAGTCTAGCTTTACTTATACTGCAGCAGGATGAGGAGCTCAAACTGACATGCTCTCAGATCACCAATCAACAGCTCCTTTTAAAAGCAGAGAAAAAGACCAAGGTGTTTATTTCCTACAACTCTAACTGCTAGTGAAGCCAGCCCAAAGTGCTCTGTGTTGCTCTTAGGAGCACTGAGAGAAAGAGAACCTGCTGCTCCCCCTGCTCGCGTGGCCTTGGATGGAGACAAGGCGCCGTCAGCTTTCACTTTCATGGTGCTTTCCTTTTAGAATACAGCGTTAACGGGTGCATTCTTACCTTGTGCTTTTCTCGAAGGCTCAAGCTCAGGCACAAATTGCATTTTGGACAGTGGAAAAAATCCTCCTTTGGCCCGATCCTGAGGAGAAAAGCGTCAGGCCAGGGCCGGTTCCCTCCCCGCTCCGTTCCTCACCCGAGCAGGGCACACCGGTCCCAGCGGCCCCTCACGCACCTGCAGATGCCACACTCGGCGCAGTGGTACTGCTTCTTGTCGCGGTCGAAGAGGTGGCAGATCTCACAGTAGTACTCGCCGAAGAGGTTGTCGCCCCCCCCGCAGCGCT